TATATATAATATAAGTACGTATATATATACTACGTATTGTTGTCTTTAACGTCCGTTGGATAGCAAAGCGAATTCAATACTGATGGCCTCTAATGGAAAGCAGCAGATTCAGGAGTAGCTGCTATAGAGGAATGCATATTTATATGTGCTTCACATTTCTGTATCGCAGGTCGCCACTTATTCTCATTCTCAGTATGTTATTCTCCTTCTTGTTTTTGCACTTGCGCTCTCTCACGGACTAGGGCTATTTCAATTTCAGCAAAAAGCTTAGAGAGAAAGTCTCCACAGCATTTGGACGCATGACCGGCAAATAAGCTTTTTCTTCCTTTAGGCAAAGTGATGAGCTTTTTAAAAACATGATACACACACACACACAGTTACACTGACACACACATAATAATAACTTATTATCGATGATAATTCTTTTATGAAAAAACTATAGTATTTAACATTAATTCGATGTATGTATATATTTACGATATGGAGTTTTATCGGAAGTACTGTCTTCCAGTTGAGTATGATTCTAAACCGCGAACGACTTCAAATGAGTATTTAAGAAATATCACTTATATGAAAATAAAAAGCAACAGGCGTGACAAAGATACTAATTGTATACAAATGTTCTTGATCAGGAACGACAAGTTGAGTCGAGCTAAGCTCGTCTAACTGTCCGTCTCTTCGTCGGGATGTCATACCTCAATTTCCAAAATTTAAAAGAAAACCTATTTTAAATAGCAGAGAGCCTAAATACAGGTGAAAATATGAGCACTTCATTGAAAATCAATAATTTATTTCCCAAATCAATAATTTATTTCCCGGCGGGCAGCTAAAGTTAAAATCAATGTTTATCTGCTATAAGCTAAGTCGGGCACTGCGATCTAGAGCAGTTTCCGTCAAAGTAACAATAAAAACCCAACAAGAAAACACCCATTTTTATTATACAATTATAAATGTTTCATTTATTTATATGCTCTGAAATGGGAATGTGGATTATTTGTTGCTTGAGTTTATAAAAATTGGAATATGTTTATATAAGACCCATATATAATAATCTTAATCGGAACAACGTGTTAAATCTATCCTAGTCATATCTAGGAAAATCTGTATTTTCATATGTAAGTGAAATAATGTTGAATGTTATAAGGCGACTAATAATTATATACCTAAGACCACGGGCGTCGCGGAAATCAGTAATTATTTTTTTATCAAAAGATGTATACTTATATATTTGTAATTACAAACATTTCATATTTTTAAGGAAGGAGCTATGTATTTGCCTATAAAAAGCCGATAATATGGATTTTCTCATTCTAATGAACTTTTATCATACCTTTCACTAATGCTCGTTTTCATACTGGTTCACATAACGGTTAAAGTACATTGGCTTTGCGTATCGCTGACCGCCCATTTGTCTTTGTTGGAGTTAGAGGGTCGCGGCGACTTGGAAATACTATATTATGTAAGGTGCCAGAGAAAATGTAATTCAGAGTCTTTCGTCAAATCGGCCAAAATATGGCAGATATGTATATATATAAGCCCATAGATCATCATCTGCACACAGACTATATACATTACTGTTTTTGGACCTTGATCGAGTGACGACTGCAACATTATTAATTGCATATGTGTTTTACTTTTATAAATTATGGAATGAAGCTATCGAATAGTATAAATAGAGATTAGAGTTTGATATCAGCTTTAAGTTAAAACTTAATTGAATACATTTGCTGATGTATTTCATAGCACAATATTTCGGAGTGTTATTCGATATCTGATTAGAGATCTGAGGTCATACGATTTGTCAAAACTTGAACCCTTCGAGCGTTACAGCTTTTGCACAGCACATGATCATCTAAGGGATAGCAGCCGCGACCATCGGCTTCTGATGACAATAAGAGGGAGCAGTCCTGCAAGAAAATATATTAAATAAATAAATAATTATAAATCAACAAAAAATTAAAAAGAGAAACCCCATTCTTATCGTCTTTAATAATTAATAGCAGGGACCGCAAATAAGAATTATGCATTTAAAAATTGAGGCACAAAAAAACCACCAAGAAGAGAGGGGAAAACACACGTAAGTAAATTTTTTACGTCAAATTGAAAAAAAAGGATAAACTTTTATTTACAATTTTTTATGAACAAATTATTTGTATACCCTGAACCCATCGAAAATGGGAAATCAGGGTATAATGGTCTTGTTGAAATATATGTAAGAGGCAGAGGTGTGACAGACCACACAATTCTTTTATATATTCTTGATCAGGGCGACGAGCTGAGTCGATTTAGACTCCGTCCGTCTGTCCGTATGTTTAAACGCGGTGATCTCTGAAGATATGTGCGACCCAGAAAGTTTTTTTTTTTTATACCCTGAACCCATTAAAAATGGGAAATCAGGGTATAATGGTTTTGTTAAAAGTATGTAACAGGCAGAAGGAGGTGTAGCAGACCCCACAAAGTATATATATTCTTGATCAGGTCTTTTTGGCCCTGTTCGTCTGTCTGTCCGTCCGTCTGTCCGTATGTATGTACGCGTCGATTTCAGAAGATATAAGAGCTAAAGACTTGAAAAAATTTTTTAAATGTCCGTATATACAGAGCGGATATCAAGTTTATCATTAAAAATCGATAACTCATCCCGATCTTTTTTTTATCGATAAAAACCCTTATCGAAAATCAGTTATAAAATTATATTTCCCACATCTTTGAAGCTACAGTCTCAAAATTAAATGTATAGTGATATGCTTTTTATACAATTTCGGGTTTTGTTAAAATTTACCCCCCACACCTATATCCACCCTCTTACCCTCACTTTTGTAAAAGGCGTATTTCAAGTACTAGAGACTAATGCTTTGAAATGTACATACATTTGAACATTATGATTATGTTCTGAAAGTTTCATTAAGATTGTACGTCTAGAAATAAAATTATTCAACAAATAATTTCTTAACATAACTCATTCTGTTTTTTTTTTTTTTCGAAAATAAGTTATTTAATTATATTTCCTACACTTTAACAGCTAGAATCTAAAATTTTTGAATGTGTATTCTGAATGTACATATATTTATATGCATTTTATACAATTTCGATTTTTGTTGAAATTTACCCCCCACCCTTAAATCAACCCCCTCATCCTCACCTTTGTAAAAAGGCGTATTTCAAATACTAGAGACTTGTGCTTTGGCAAGTGCACGCATATTATTTTTATAATTACGATCTAAAAGATCGTATGTCCACAAAAAAGTTATTAAACAAGTAAGTTCTCATAGTAAGCGCACACTGCAACCCATGTGTGGTTTTACGCGTGGGTACTTGTGTGTGTATGTGTTTGTGTGTGTGCGTGTTTTTTGTGTAAGCAGAAATACGCGAAAAGTGATTGAAATAGCTATTGCTCGAAGGGTTCAGGGGATCTCGTAGTCGAGCAGTCTCGACTAGAGCTTTCTTACTTGTTTTTATTTTATAATACATTTTATGAATATATGTTTACTCCATTTTTATCTAATACCTTTCGCCATCTTGTTCAAGTGATATTTGACGTCCTGATTTGAAGTGAAGGTTCTACCATCCAAAAAATTCTGCAGAGATCGGAATAAGTAGTCCGAAGGTGCTTTTGGCGAGTTATCAAACTTGTATGGGGTCTCGCATTATCCTTGTGTACACCTTTTCTATTGAACAATTCTTTGAAATCCCACCAAACGGACAACATAACCTTTTTTTTTTTGTGAAGTGAAGGCTTTGAAGTGGTTTGATCTGGTTCATCCTTTTTATTAGACCATGATCTCTGGCGCTTTACATTATTGTAAACAACCCACTTTTCGTCGCCGGTAACAATGCGCTTTAAAAATGAATCATTTCTTTGACGTCTAATAAGCGAATCGCAGTTGTTAATGCGACGATGCAAATTTCTTTGAAATTAATCCTAGACGTTTCATGTGCTTGTGAACAGTCGCGTTTCCTGCAATCTCTCGAGTTTTTATTCGATAATTTTCATCGACCAACGACTTTATTTTGTCCACATCTAGGACGTGGTGCATACTAAATTGAAATTGCCGGAACGAAATTTTTCAAACCAATTTTTGCATTGGCGTTCGGTCAATACATCTTCTCCGTACACATCGCATTATTTTCGCCATGCTTGAACTGCATTTTTGCCCATTCAATTGTAAACATGCTGAAAATGTTGCTTTTGATCTTCCATCTTCGATAGGGCACCAAATGAAAACTATTTCGCACTATCCAACAAAATTGTTTACAAATAAGTTTTACTATATCAACTATTAATATGTATAACGGTAAAGCGGTAAAGCGCCAAGTTGGCTGCGATAAAATAAGATCAGCTGTTATCATGATACAAAATTAATTGGTGAACGACCTTATACATTCGTTTCTCATAAAAGTGTGTAATGTGAACGTTATCGCTTACTATATGTATGTATACATTTTCTGAAATACTCACCTCGCATTTATAGCATTCTAGATGAAAACTTCGATCAAGGGCAACGACCCTTACGGTTTCTTCTTGTCCGGGCTCCGGCATGATTGGCTCCTGACAAACACAGCAACGAGGAGCAAATTTCCTGAAATGATTTTTTTTTTTTTT